AATTTCTTTTAGAAATTTTTACTTGTTTTATGATTTTTAGAATATTACTTGTAGATTTAGAAAAAATATTCTATAGTTTTACATTTTATAAAGAAATAGAAGAGATTTTTGAATACGGTGTAGAATTAGTTTCTTTAGAAAAAGATAAATCTATAGATTATTTATTTGCTATATTACAAGTAACTAAAAATTTACATTTAGAATTAAAAGAACAGATTTTATATAGATCTTTAATTTCAGAATTTAGAGAAGAATATTTTATAAATAGTTTTGATCAGATATTTATATCAGATTTAAAAGTAAGGATTGAATTAGATAATATAGATAATAATTATTTATCTATCAGACAAATTTTTCATTAGATTCTTTTTATTATTCAGATTAGATTTTTAAACTGGATCTTTTAATAAAAGAGGTTAATAAATTAATTGGAGAAGTAAGTTCTTTAGGAAAAAGAATCTTTAATATTGAAAAAGATATTAATAAAATTTGTGAAAATTTAGATTTTATTAAAGAACAAAATATAACAATTTTAAATAAAATTTCTAGAGTAGAAGATAAAGAAAAATTTCCAGATCTGAAGACTACAGAAGCAATAGAAAATATAAATAAAAAATTAAATAATATACATAATAAACCAAATCAAGATATTGAGAATATAATAAATAATTTAGATAAATTAAGTTTAAAAAACACAGGTAAAGAAAAAATAACTAGAAAATTATCTACAACATTTTATAAAGTATGAATAATTTTCCTGGTAGATCACGGACTATTAGTGAAGTAGGATCATCTTCAGAACCGTATGATAGAGGTAGACATAGTACTTCTAATATAAGTACAAATATTATAGAAAGAATATTACATAGACAATTTCTGTCATATTATCAATTTCTTCTATATTAATTCCTACTCTAATATTTTTAAAATTATCATAATATAAATATTCTGTTTCTCCTATTTGTTTATTTAAAAACAAATGATCTTCTAATTTTAAAATTTCTGTAGGAGATAAATTCATTTCTAATTCTTTAGGATAATAAATTCTATCTTCAATTTCTATTTCTACTGCATTAAGAAATTCTTCTGGTTTTTGTTCTTCTTCATTATTATTATATTCTGTTTCAGAATCATTATTTCTATTTATGTGATTATAATTACCAAACCTTAAACTAGTTCTTCCATGTAAATCTTTATATGTTATAGCTTCTTGAGGAGCTAAAATTGGTTCTTGATTTTCTAAGAATTTTTCTAAATCCCATTCTGTCTGGTCTTCAGAAAAATTTTTATTTTCTGTAACAAGATTTTCAGCCTGTTGAGTCTGATTAAATTGAAAAGTAGGGGAATCAACAGTCCCCTGAGTCTGTTGAGCTTTTGGTAAGCCCAGAACCATAAACGGATTTGATAAGTCTTTACCAGCTTCCGTTTGAGCTGGACTAGCTATAGAATTCTTGGGCTCTATAGTACTTGCTTGTGTCTGGACAATTGGATTTGAAATTTTTAAATTGATAATTTCTTGTTCTAATTCAGAAATTTTCTTTTGTAAAACTAATTTTTCTTGTTGTAAAGACTGATAATCTAATATAATGTCCTATTATTGTATTCTTCCATACTTCTATAATATTATTCCAAGTCTGAGGATCATGTGCTGTAATATTTAATAACTGTGGTTTATGTGGTGTTTGAAAATCTATTTTAGGTTCTAAAGGTCTAACTTTTCCTCTAACTATATAATTTCTTTCTTTATCATTATAACTTGTATAAGGTGTTCTATGTTTAGAATTTGTAGAAATGGAAAAAATTTATAATCTTTTAGTAACAGAACAAGATATAGAAAATATGATAAGTAAATTAGAAAAATTAGAAATTTTAGGAGAAAATATATTAAAATATTGGGAAAAAGATAAAATTTTATGTGAATTAAAAATAAAAAATCCAGAATATATAATAAAAACAAAAAATATTGAAGCAACAAATCAAGATCAGGAAGATTTTAGGATGCATATAAAAGATTTATTAAAATTAAGAGTAATTAGAAAATCAGAAAGTCCACATA